TCCCTCGGCCAATATGCAAGCCAGCAGATTCCCTTATTAGCGAGTGTTCCAGCAATTCGAATGGAAGAAGTCTTTTACGAGAAACTGGAATTGCGCAAAGAAAATCGTCTAAATAATTTGGAACAATTGGCACAAGCAATGAATGAAGCTGGTAATGAATTCGGAGCAGGCACTCCATATGGTATACTTTATTAAGATCTAGGAAAAAGTTCATGAATCCATAAACCAAATTAGTCCATGAATTCATCCAATAAACAACTTTGCTTTGCAATCAAGTCTGCAAAGTTATTGAATTTGTTCTTTTTGTTTTGTGGAATTCAGAACTGGGAGAGGAACCATTTTTTTGAACACACTCATTACTCGTACCATCATGATTTTGTGAAACTAATTTTTCATGGATGGGATTTTTCGCATTTTCCAAAATTAGTCTTCAGTAGGTTAATTAAATTTCTTTCTCGCTGGTCATTACTGAAAGCTTAGATCGTCCAATTGCGCCTTTACGGATTTATTTTTTGCTTAGATGGATTCTGTGCATTCACTTAGCAACAGAAAGAATTTGAAAGAATTGCAAGGCAGCAGAAATATAAACGGATTTATGAAAAAATAAGATTTTTCATTTTTATGTTTTTGGATTCATAATATTCTTTACTGGTTTTTTAATTTCATTTTTATTCTTTGCACATATCACTATTTAAATCTGACGTATGTGATGAATTCAGCCACACATCAACGATGCACACACTCATTTCATAAATTCATAATTTTTTTAGGAAGCGCACTGTTGAAGACAGCTCAAGCAGAATTCAAACTAGGTGCGGGGGAAAGGGATTTTATCAACAGCTGTGCAAGTAATACGCTTTTGCCAGTACGACGATTCCTGGAGGGTGACATGAAAACTATTCAGGTGCAATATTTTATACTAATTGTCCTTTTCAGAGTATCACATTATTTTCTTATTGGGTAACTCCATCAGTTTTGTTTGTCGTAGCGTGAACTTTTAAGGTTTTTTTTTCAATATTGAGTTTATATGTGTAAAACATTCTAATTAACATTTCCAAAAAATTAATGACGTTTCATCTTTACAGCGTGAACGAAAAGTTTTGAATACAAAACGCTTGGATCTGGATGCAGCCAAAAGCCGATTAAGAAAAGCAAAATCAGTAGAAGCGCAGAGCAATGTAAGTTTTGCATTGTTCTGCACACCTGTTTTGTTGCAGATTCTATTAGTTATATTGCGTATTTTTTCAAAAAAAAATCTTGTACGTGGTCAAAGTTTCAAAAAAGAATTATTTTCGGTAATCGATATGCATATATTTTAATCAAATACCCACAGTTTTTGATTCTACTGTGTGAAGGTAATTTATAGTTTAAAATAAAATAATTAAATCAGATTTCATCCTTCTGAGATTGTGTTTTACTAATTGTTGTCACTTTTTCTTTCAACATATTTATTGCAGTTGGGAAGTTGTTTTTCATCAGAACAGGTTTATTTTTTTTCCGGTGTTTTTGTTGTTTCTAATATGTACATTTTTTTTAACATATATGTGTCTGTATTCGTGGTTGAGATTTTTGTCTTGTTAGATATTTTTTCAAGTAATATTACAATAGAATTATGTCAAAACGTGGATATCCCGTATGTTGTTTAATTCACGTGTAAAAGGATTTGGTTAAGGGTGTAAAGCAAAACCATGTTCTGATGAACACGGGAGTGTCACTGAAACTTTTATCATTGGTAGGATAGAGCTATCAATGATAGAGATTTCGAAATTGTTTTGGTAGTGCAGATTTCATAAATTATTTGTAGTTGAATTTAGTGGAGCAGTTTGACTGTATGCGATGGCACATGTCAGTTAAAGTTTACTCATACATATGGTGAGGAATATGATATCGTGTGTTCCAGAATGTTAAGATGAAAATTTTTCGATAAAAGCATTTATGTGACTATAGATACACATGAATGCGATTTATAATCAGTTTCTTTGGTTACGAAATTGATTGCTATTGTGTATGCTATGTTTTTCAAAGCAAATAATTTGTATCATTTGTAGGCAGAAGCTGATTTACGTGTGATGCAAGCGGAATTCGATAAGCAGGCAGAAATTACAAAGCTGCTCCTGGAAGGAATACAAACTGCTCACGTAAATATATCCTTTCTATATTTAAATCATTATCAAACAAGTTTTCTGGATATTTTATTAGGAAATTGGACGCCGTAATGTATTTCTGCATGTGCTTCAATCGGCTGAAATATTCCACTTCAGTTTTTTAAGAAATTGAAGTGCAAGATCATTTGTTTTCGAATTCAAAATTTCAGAACAATCATTTGAAATGTTTGCGCGATTTCGTCGAATCTCAGATGTCGTTTTATGCCCTTGCACACCAACATATGGCTGATTTACAACGAGAACTTTCGGGGTGATTTTTTTAATAGGAAATTTGATGTTTTTTGGTCATTCTTATCTGCTCTGCGTAAGAATGTTGGAGAGGAAAATTGGGGGACGGTGAAGAGGTATTTTTAATTTCAAGTTATTTTTAATATTTGGTTTGCTTTTCTGGAAATATCTGAAACATTCTTTTTTTGGAACTGTCTTGCTTGAATATATTGTAATTCTGCAGTATATGAATTCTTCAGAAATTTTCTGATCACATGGTTAGTGCACCATTACTATTAGAAATCTTTTGTGCACCGATACATCTATTTTCTCACTAAACATTATAACTTTGGATAATTTGTGCACAATTCTTTCATCATATTCACTCATTATTTGCTTAGCTGCATGATGTTTCATTGTTTCAAAGAGGGTTTTAAAAGTATTCACGGTCATTTTTCACGTAGGTGCGAACATACATTTCAAGGAATTAGAGAAAATGACGCCACGGTTCATGCTGTTTTTTTGTTTTAGGGTATTCTTTCTTTTTTTGTGAAAAGACTAGATATTGTGCACATTGTATCTGTATTTGGTTATTGTAGCGCACCGGATGCAGAACCTACTGTAGGCCTGTTTAGTGGTTACAGTGACACCAGCATCAGCACAGGTAGTAGTGGTAACACGGTAGCAGCTTCAGCAACACAGCAAACCGTACGACAGCTAAGTTCTACTTCAACTTCAAAAGGCATCATCAATCCCAGCACTATTGAATGAATAAATTTATCCCATCTGCCTAGATTTCTTTAGGTATATCTGACTTTGAGATTTTTTCCTTTTCCTTTCGTATATTTTTAATTCATTCTTACTGATGTCAAAATTATTTTTCTTTTTTTGATTTCCGCAGCAAAAACCAAAAGTTCTAGAGGACCCAAGAATTGGAAAATATAGAAGCAGACAGATTCTCAAAAAAAAAGAAAAAATCCTGGCTGTTTAAAGGACGAAAATGAAAAATGGGAGCCAGGAATGGAGAAAAAATGGTAACATTCAGGTAAGAATAAAGTTTTGTGATGAAAATCCTTTTTATTTTCTGCCTTGAAATTAGCTTATAAATTTTCATTATTAAGTACATTTCAACCAAATATCCCTAGAAATGCAATCCACGCCACATTTTACCACCGATTTATTTTGAAAAATCCAGTGTAAAATGAATCTTTTTTAGTTATACAAAATTTTTATAACATTGTGTTACTTGCCCTTGTATTTGTAATCATTTAAATGTTTTTGTATTGTATGCGCATGATTATGTTTTTCGTGGTTGTTCAAATGCATTTCTCCTTGTCGCTTGATAGTTTTGTTTTTCCAACTAAATTGGTTTACAATTAAGTTTACTGAAGCTGAGTATGATCATGCAAATGTCCTAGTTGTTTAGAGATAAGCGATACTGTTAAATCGGTGGTAGCAAAACTATTTTCTGTTGCGAACTTTGTATATGAGGTCTGCTATCCTCTGAAATTTCTTAATTTATTGCTTTTCCTCTCTCCAATAATATAGTCAGTTTTTTCTGCTACTTTTGACTGTTTTTCGTTTTTTCCAGTTTATTTTCCTCAATGTGGTATATTATGTAAAAGATTATAGTAAGCGTTATCCATTATAAATTTATCATTAATCTCTTTTCCATTCCTGAGAACAAGGAGCACAGAGTCGTCTCCTTGTGGAAACAAGTATGTTTTTACGGAAAACAAATAGTAAAACTTATGGGAGCTGATGACGACGGCAAACCTTCTTTTTTTTTTTTCTAAGCTTTCATCTTCCTACTTACTGCGGTGGTTTATATATATATAATGTATATTTCAGCCCCTCCTTACATTTTTATGTTTTGGATAATGTTGATTAAATGGTAAACGAAAATGCAAGGGAAATTTCCCACATTTGGGGTTACATTGTGAAATTCCACTAGTTTTGTTCAGTTAGAATCGTATCATTTTTTCGGCGGCATTTTAACCAAAAGCACTTTAGTTGCAGTTACTTTGAAATTTCATCATGAACTAAAGGCAGCGGAGGGTTCAGTTTCTATGTTTTACTTGACAACGGCTGTTTATTTCCAAAATGACGGCCGTCCAGTGCAAGAGCAGTGCATGAATTCCATATGCTCGATGATCCAATGTTTTTGGCAGGCCTAGCAGCAAGACATGCTTGAGTGTCCGATTATAATTCCGTTTCGAAGAACTTCCATTAAGTAGAAATGAAGTAAGGTCTTTCTCTCTATATTCTTAATGTCCGTACCTTTAGTGTTCCGAAATTCATTAACTTTAAATCAGATTTTAAAGCTCTGCGCGTTGCAGCTTTATCCAAATTCTGATAAAATATAATAGAACATTTATCGTCCTAATTTATAATCTCTTTGTGTTCCAATACTGGATTTCCAAAGCATATTCAGATTTTCCCCAATGCCCAATATTATTTTTCTGGTCGTGAATGCACAAAAGCTTCCTGAAATGGATGGACGGTTTATGATGGCCGAAAAGTGTAAAAGAGCATGAGTTTCCTGAGCTAATTTAGTTATATTATATATAATCAGAAATAATATCCCTTAGCGATATTTAAAAATTCAAGGATTTCTGGCACAAGGGCCTAAAGTCGGTATTTTATTTCTTTGTCAGCTGTCATCGATCGTCTTTCCTTCAAATTTAACACATGGTCATCGTAATAGCTCCGATAAGTTCGTTGTTGGGGATACATCTACAAAAAAAGTCCCAAAAAATGAAATCAAGAAGTACTAGATAATTTTTCAGTAATAAGATCTTATCATCTTTTTTACAAAAGTTAATTTCTTTTAATTTAAATGCAAACTTTTTTCTAAGCTTTTCCCAGTACAGAAAGGCTGCAGAACCAATAATGTTATCAATGTCAAGATTTTTCAGCATAAAAGTATAAAATGGGCAATTATCTATCGCAAAAACTTGGTCATACCTTTAGCATCATATCCAAGCGATATCTACTTCTGTTTTTTTGAAGCCATAATTAACATATAAATTTGAAGTATATTATTCATTTCAGTACTGGTGCTTTTTGTTACCTATGTTCAATTTAAAAAAAAAAATCTTCCCTAACATACTGTTTGTCCTTGACTGGTAAATTCTTGACCGTCTATGGCATCTTTATGTATCTGATGCTTCAGTTTTGCCTGATCGATAAAATTCACATAGTTATATGGACAAGCGCAGAGACACTGACTATTCCATACTGTTCCTGAATGCCATGGGAAACTCCAAAAACATATTGAAATTCATAGTAAGCTAGGTTAAATTATGTTTTTTATATCTCTCAGAAGATCATGAAAATTATTCGGACACCCTAATGCAACGCTTCCACACGAGTCATTTTCTTCAGTTGTAAACTCTCCATGTGCAGCAACAATACCTAACAAATGATAGTAATTTCAAGGTACCACTTATGTCTCAGCAAATGTCGCACTGGATTTCGACCCTAATTCTGCAATATTATAAAAAGCAAGTTCCGAAAAGTGATTTGAGTCCTTTGCTGCAAGTTGAAAATGGAAACTGGCAGAGGGGATGCTACCACGGATCTTTTTTGTTCGAACTGATGGCCAAGAATTCCTGAGATCGGAATTTTAGGAACAGAACCTGCTTGTCTTTGGAAAGCACACAGCCTGTATTATGGTGATAAGTAATGCTGGAATAACTGAAATTTACTGTCATTGGATTGAAGAGAAACAGTGGTACTTCTAAAATTAATCAAGTACCATAATAGAAGGATATGGAGCACAAAAACACTGAAGCACATACGTGTGAGTTCAGATCCGTATACTTTTTTTTTCAGTAAATACGAAGCAAGCTTTCTAAGAATACTTTTCAGAAATTATACCGACTTTAACAAACATACATAATTTAAGAAGACTTATGCCATTTCTTACCGGTATTCGGCATAGGCTTATTGAAGCGTTCATTTTGTTGCCGCTGTGTCTCTTGGCTTTCGTGATATAGATGATCCGAATGACTTTGTCGAACACATTGTAATATAGAAGCTTGGATACGATTCTCAAACTCTTCACGGGCGCTACAAAGGCAAGCCCGAAGTCGAGAAACATCAGTCGAGTGGCATTGTGTTTGCAAACGAACACTAAAAAAGATGTTTATTGGGGCTTAAACTCCAATTAATCCTTCATTTCTTTAACATTTCTGGCTCTTGAATCAGGTAATTCCAGTTTCATCAGTTCACTTTCAATATTTTGAATCATAACTCTCTGCGTACTCCCCGTATAAACTTACATTCCTTACATTCCTCAAAGCTGGAATGCAAAATAAGCCGATCGTTTTCAAACAAAATACTTCTGATTCATTCAGAGGAGTGAGTTAATCTAAAACTAGTTGTAGATTTAAATAAAAAATCCGCTTTCGTCGAAACCATATGCTATCAATTCTACCTTAGTTTTGAATCAATTTCAATTCTGTGAAAATGGTCACTAAGGAATTATGCTTGTGTTTTCATTAAAATGAAAATAAAATGGTAGATGACTTTCACCTGCGAATGCACGATCTAATAACACGATCTCTGTCAATCAGTAGCTCCTGGTAAAATCTATCGTTACTAAGGTGCCGATGATAACACTGTATTTCATTTCCTTCCAGAAGGCAAGAATCATTTGCATTATTTCTAAATTTCACGGAATAAGTGTGAATTTTCAGAAGCAAAATTAAACTTCTTAAAAATTAACAGCAGAACAATGAATGAAATAATGACTTCTCCAAAATAACATACAATTTAAAATCCGCTGAATCGATGAACCTATTAATACCGTTGCCAAATATACGTCCTGTTTTCTCCTACAAGAACTAAAGAACAGTTTTGTTACTCATTAAAGAATGTTTGTGTCAAGTGTAGCAACAAATCTAACAATTGTTAATACTTATACAGTTTTCACAAAGCAAATAATTCTAAAAACATGTTATTGTTTTTCAGGTTCCCAACATCACTAGGTTTTGTGAACTTACAAGAAGTTTTCTTTTTTTTTTTTAAATATACTTTTAGGGTACTCCAATGATATGCATCCAAAACTTCAATAGCCAACCCTGATTAAGCAAGCCAATGTAGCCGAGTTTTCGAGGTATGGATACGTTGGAACCAGCTGAGGTAATCCCCACAGATGATCAGCAAATTCTACGCTATAAATGGTACGAGCGTAAATGGCATCTTCTGCAACCAAATTATATCTTTCTAGAAATAAGCAGAAAGTGGAAATATTCCTCAAGAGAAAATAATTTCTGCAATAATAACAAACAACAATTCATTTATTTCTCATAGCACCAACTATACTGTTATAATCTCTCGATTAGAGGTGACATTAGTTCCAAGTAAATTTTTGGATTTTAAGCTTCAAAATCATCCTTTGTTTTACCATCAATTAAAGTAGGTTTGAAATCCAAAAATTGTGTCGACTCTTGAGTAGTGTCAAAACAGCTTTCTAAAGCAAATAAATATCGATCTGCTGAGTCGACGAAATTGTCGGATCTCAGAGTCTCTCTGTTGAATGAAGCTCGAACTGCGCGCACCGACCGTTCAAAACAACGCTCGAACAATGCCAGTTCATAATTACATCTACAGTAAGTACAGTTCGCAACGTAATTATAATTCGAAGTTACCTTCTAGATTGCTAAATAATAATACAGAATTTTCAAGCCTACATTTGTTTAGTGAAGCAATTCCGGAATGCAGAACGTTTGCTTTCTTGTATGAGACGTTCATATTCTTCTGTAATTATGGCGCACCGTTGCAATTGCTCCGCACATTGACTTGAGATCTACATTTTCTTAGTCATAATGGTAAAGTTTACAAGGATTATTGTGGGGATAATGATTTTTTACATCATGCCTGAATGATTTGTAATTCTTACAATCAGCAACTTTATCGTAATATGTGTTATGAAAGCTTTCTGGATACCTTAACACTCAATACAAGTATGATAACAGCAGCTGCTTGAAGTAGCACTTTGACCTTCATATTAGTTCTGAATTATGATGCTGTAGTTGCAAAATACGCCTGCAAAAGCACTGTGATTATTTTAAGTTATTTTTGCTATATAGAGAAAAACTGAGTCCAGAAACATATTTTCATTAGGACCATACTACAGAAAAAGGCTGGCTTACATATCTATCCCGGTTAAATCTTTTACAATTAATTAGATTTTCAGCATCAAAAAGACTTTCTTGTGCTTTATAATCTGTACTATAACTATTAAAAGGAAAAATAAAATTACGATTCTAAATTACACTAATCTTGATCAGTTGATATTAGTTGGAAGTTAGGAAGGAATAAATTATTACTTTATAATAACTGATTAGGTGACTATATTTAAAATATTTATAAATTATCAAAGCGAAAATCCAACCATACCTCGGAAGATAATGGACTGACAGTGAACAATAACTAGCCAGGGATGTTAACACGTTTGTTGAATAGCAGGCATGCATAATGTTGGTAGCAGTATCATCAATTCATGTTTGTATTGTTGAAGAGTATCATCAAGTATCAATAGTGGGAAATTGTTCGAGTGGCACTATAGCACCGGGGGAGTACAACTCTACATAACGTATGAGCAAATTATTGCAGTTGTAACCGTTCACGAGTTTATCTAGCAATTATGGAAATAAAACAGTGCAGAATGAGGGATAGTTGTAACTCCAAATCACTTTAAAAAGAAAAAAACTAACCATCGACTACGGAACATTAATAAAAGATATCAAATAAAACGTGGGATATTAGCAAGTTAGCCATTGAATTTCGAAAGTGATCTATTGAAAATAACAAATTTACGGTTAAACAGAACAGGACGGTAAAGCTCGGACATAGAAAAACAGCCAAGTTATGCGCAGCTTGAAGCGCGCTTCCTTCAGTCTATGCGAAAAATCTATGAAAACTGTTTTAGAATTCAAAAACTATCCTCTGGTTCCTTCCCATTACTGGAAATTTCATATCAGATTTCAAAAACTACATTTGTTGTCTTGCAATACACTGAGGAACTTAATTAAAAGTTTTATTGCTGATAATGGGCAAATGCGTTACAAAACAAACCGGTTAAAGAAACCTGTGACACCAAATAGCGAAAGAGCGTTAAAAGTACAGCATGAATAATAATTTGGGACCCTTAAAAGAAAATAAATCTATAAATGGGCAAAACAAAAGTGACACGCAATATGTTTTCGAATTTGTCTTTAAATCAGTAGTCTGAATCCACCATCATTAACTCGTATTTTAAATAGTCTTGTTGGACAAGGAAAAATCATGCCACTAATGCAATGCTCACAGCAAAAATCTTCCCAAAAACAAGTCATCATATTTTTGAAGGCCTAAAACTTTTTCGAAACTTCAAACTTTCAATTCAGGGAAACACATCAGATTCCTTATAACAAAGCCACCAATGTTGATCTCAAAAACGAAAATCACATCGACAATAAAAAGTAATCAACCCCTATCGTCCAACTTTGACAACAGCTACTTCCGACAATAGCATAAGAAAAAAAGTTCAGGCATCTACAAGACAAAAATTTCGGAATTACCAATAACGGTGAGAGCACAAACACTGGATTCAGTATGGCAGTTAAAAACAGAGTTATTCACTCAATGACAGACAGCATTTTGTGAGGACGAGAAATGGAAGTTTTAATAATTAGCAATTACCTACCGTTCCCACTTAACGTGAAGCATTACTGAATCGATTTTAATCTCCAAGTTCAATCGGTCTTTATTTACTGATTCAGAAAGACTACTGAAGACATGCGTGGAAGATTTCCTGCAGCTTCATCTGTTGATCGATAGGCTTACTAGTAAAATAGTGAACACTGTAGGGTGCTATGATAAACTAAATTCTACGTTTTCATCTCAGTTAACGAAATCATGAAGCCAAAAATTCCTTTAAAAAGTTGAAAAGCTGAAAGTTGCTTAGAGGAAAAAGATTAAGGCGAATTCGGTTATTGACGGTATGTTTATCACAGCATTCTACAATATAAACTTAACAATGAAATATTAAAAAAGAAGAAAAGCGAATAATGAAGTGAATTACTGTGTAAGGAGCATTTTGAGAAAGAGAAGCAGAAACATTCAACAAAAGGAAATCTGCGAAGAAATAGAGAAAGAAACGAAATTTTGAAAGATGAACAGTATTACTTTAAAGCTTACAAATAGATGACGCAGAGAAGTGAACGCTAAATTACAAAATTACAATTTATAACAAAAGGAATTTTTTCTCTCCCTTTTTCCACCGCTCTTGTAAGTCAAACGATAAAAATTGCTATAAATCAGCATTCCATTCAAAAAAATAATAATCAGAATTTATAAAACATCTAAACATGCACGAAGTCAATTTCAAATGAGGTAGCAAACTGAGAGCAAAGTGATAAGTGCTCCTAAATATACAATAATACTCCCTGTCGTATGCATTTACCAAGTACTCGGATTTCATAAAGAACTGGACAAATCTCATCTCCAGTTTCATCACCACAAAGATTTACTGGAAAATAAATCGATCCTTATCCCAACCAAATCTTTTTCTACACTTTTTTACAATTTCTTCTACAATCTTGATTTTTGTCTGAGAGATTAGAAATCTAACCCATTCATTCGTAACATACGTTAGAAATTCAGGACAAACCCTATGTAACAATTTTTGGTTATTAAATGATGGAAATAGTTAAATGATTTCACTAAATCTTCTAATGTTTCTGGTGAAGACTTCTAATAATTCCATTAACGAACTGCTGGATAACTCAAAGACATTTTACTTGCTTATTCAAGTTCAACCATAGTTTTTTAAGTCATACAAACTGTTTCCCTTATTGCATGCCTTCAAAATTCACTTAACAAAAAAGTTATTTGGTTTAAAAGGAGGTAAAAAAATATCTTTAAACACTGAAAGGGAAATTAACAGTAGTAAAAGGAAGCAATCAATATATATGTGCTTTATCACATAATTTGAAGGCTTGTTCAGAGGAAACTGAAAGAACGACAGATTAAGCAAATTAACCCGCTTGCAAAAAAGACAGGAAAGAATGAGACATTAAAATGTAGCAGAATAGCCTGCAGTAACCTTATTTTTAATTATAGACATAAAATATCAATTTTTCCCAGAACAATCTTAGAAATATAAAAATGGCAAAAATCACTTGATGTCATTTATGATCATTCCCCAAAGCAAAGCAGCTATTAACAGTTGTTAATCACGACTCCAAAACCAAGAGTGCATGAAATGCCGAATAAAACTTGCCAGTCGATGACACTGACAGAAAGAAGACAGTTCTTTTTAAATACAGGCTAAAACTGCTATTTGCTACAATTGCCTTTGTTCTGAGTTGCTGCGAAGAAATTGTATTAAGGCCTACAAGAATGGAAAAGACCTCGGCGTCCACCGGGATCGGTCAGCACTGGTTCACCGTAACTTGATTTATAATCTACATATTCCTGTAAAATATGAATAGAAGATGCGTTGGAAGGAAAAAACATACTAAATTAATGCTGCTTGCGATAGATTATTTCATGAAATTTCAACGTCAAATTGGCATTTCTGAAAATTTTGACTACATACCTTTGGGCACACTATAAATCGATTTTAATTAGCTAGAAAGTGTTTATAGGATAAGTAAAAGCTAGAAAAAATAAGTGTGGTGAGACTAATTATTTTAACACAAGCACTTCAAACATATTTTCTGGAAAAGGTACTAAATATACCTGGTAACTCATTAAAACTTTGTCAGACTGAAATCTGACAACATTCACTTTCATCCGTGTTTCTTCCGAGATATGCCCACGATAACCGCCCTTTCGCATCAAATTATCTATCGTTTCTGCATGATCCCAACCTAAAAAAGTCAAATAATCTGTTAAAATTTTTTATAAAGCAAATCCTAACTGATACAAGCAAAGACTCAGATACCAATATATATATATATATATATATATATATATATATATATATAGAGAGAGAGAGAGAGAGAGAGAGAGGAGG